TAATTCTGAAGACAATAATTCCAAAAAACCTCTTCCTGAATTTCTGAGTAAAAGTTCAAAAAATAGTAATTTCAAAGACAATAGTTCTGAATACAATAATTCTGAAAACAATAATTCTGAAGACAATAATTCCAAAAACAATAATTTCAAAAATAGTGATTCTGAAAATAATAATTCTGAAAATAGTAATTCTGAAGAGAAGAATTTAGAAGAAAATAATTCTGAAAAAAATAATTCTAAAAGCAATTAATGTAAAAAATTAGAAAGCAAAAATAAATGTATAACTAGTGATACAAATAAAGATAATTTGGTATCTGGTACTGATATAATAGATTTATTTCTTAAAGTTAACTTTAATATACAAATATCTACCTCAAGAAAATTAGTAAAAGAAAAATTTAAAGCACTTATAGATGATGATGAAGAGATAATTATTGAACAAACTACAGAAAAAAAGGATATATTTGATATTTATAACTTATCTAATGAAGATAATATAATAATAATTAGAAAAGATAATTATTCTTCTCCAAGTAGTTCTTCAAATAATTCTTCAAATAAATCTTCAAGTGATTTACAAGAAAGTCATAATCCTATAAACTTTATTTTACTAGAAATTAATCCTGAAATTTTTAAACTACTATTTGACATAGATAACAATTGTTTAAATAATTAGATTACTTTATAGATAATGAAAGATTAATAATATTACAATATTTCTGATACTAGTATAGAATCATTAATTAAATTTCTTTAACATTTACTTTTGTATTTTAAAATTGATAAAGCTAATAGGCTACTGACTTCTATATATATTGTGAAATTATCTTTAGAGATTTTAACTAAATATAGAAAGTATACTATATGTCTAAAGTATCATAAGCTCTAAAACTTATCAGTAATTAAAGACTATTTTTAACATTTTTACTATTTTTACTATTTTTACTATTTTTACTATTCTTACTCTTCTTACTGTTCTTATTGTTCTTACTATTTTTACTATTCTTATTTTTTATTGTAAAAAGCTATATAAATTCTTCTTTTTTCTTTTGCTTCAAATTAGGTTTAAATATTACAATCTTCTTAATATTAGAATTCTCTTAGTACAGAAACTAATAGATAGTCTTGTATTATCGATATTATATCTTAAATAAAGTATAATCTTTGCTTTTTTATTTACTTTATAATGAACTGCTACATAGACACTATTAAGAACTTCTCTTCTGTATCTTATATTACTTGTGTTGAATTAAAAAGACTAATACTTGTAATATTACTATAAAGAGTATGATTAAGATATAATTTAGTATTATAAAATTTTGTTAAAGCCTATTCTATAAATAATTAAATTGATTATATAAAAGAGAATTACATATTTGATACTAATTTTTTAAGAATTTATTATACTGATCTTCTAATTTGCCTTTTAAATTCTTAATTAAGTTCTGTTTAATATGAAATATACAATGAATATGATATAAATTAGATAAAATATTAGTAATTATAGTATTAATAGAAAGATCATTATCTGTTATTATTATTAAAGACATAACTTCTATATTTATAACTAATATTTTTAAACCCTATTCATAGCTTTTAATTGTTTTATTATTCATAAGAGCCTGCTCTATTAATTTAGACTAATTATTGTTATCTACTATTATAAAAAACCTAAAGCTATTTTAAACTGATTTGTTAAATAGGTATTATCATATTAAATAATATCTCAATAGTAAATATATAAAATATGCTAATCAGATAATATCCAGAACAGAGATGCAAGAGAATTATTTGTAGAATCAATCTTCTAATTTACAACTTATTTAATATTTTTAACTTTATATTTAAAAAGATAATTAAGTAAAATAGTAGCTTTATATTCAATATAACTTTGTCACTTAAATCTTTAAATAGTATTTGAAAGTTCTTGAGTTAAAAAATAATATTAGAATACTGCTTTACTAATATTTTATACTGAGTTCATATATTAATATTACCAGTTTCTATTCAAAACTTAATTTTATCTAACATCTTCTTAGTAAATATACAATATTTTATAATAAACTTATTTTTTTTTAATTCAGCAGTCATGCTATGCCTTTATTTAGATTTGTTTTTTATTTAAAAACAACATTATTTAGCTATATACTATCTAATATCTAATTTTTTAAGCCCTAACTCACTCAGTTATCATATTGATACCTATATATGATCTGCTATAGTAACCTTTGTCTTATACTAGAGTAGTTTATAATTTATAGACTATATATTAGTATAGGAAGGATGCTATAGCCTATTATGACTAACTTTAAATCTAACTACTTAAAATTCTCTTCTTAACTTCTCTTGCTATACTATCTAATGCTATTTTAAGACTACTATTACAATTTTCTAAATTCTCATCTATTCTGTAGTTTGTTTTTTTCCTTATAGGCCTTTTTTTCAGTTATTTTTCTTTTTCTCTTTCTGTATATATTTTTCTTTTTTTGAGATCTTTTCTTTTTTCTTTTATACTTCCATATCTTTGCATTAGTTTTTCTAGACTTCCTTATATACTAATTCTATTCAAATATATTAGAATAAGCTCCAGAATTTGGTTGTCATACTTTTAGAGCTGACAATAGACTTAATTTTTTTAGCATTATCTTCAGCAAGGATGCCTTTTAACTATTCTTTTTTCTTTTGTTATTTTATTATCTGTTCATATTGGAAAGCTTAGTATATACTCATTAGATCCTAATCTTCTTCCTTCCTTTTATCTTCATAGAGCTGTTTCTATACTTCTTCTTTGATTTTTTAAGTGCCTAATATGTTTTTTCACAAGTAATCAAATGTCCAATTGTTTCTTTTTCCTTTAGATATCTTTTGTATAAACTATTTTTGTAAAGTTGTCATCTTCTGCTGTTTAAAATTTTGACAGTTGGAAGAAGATTTTTGATATATTTGATTTTAAATAATTACAAGTAGTTAACTTTAGGATTTTGATATTGTTTAAGGCAATTTCAAGTATATCTTTAAAAGCTTCCAATCCTGTTTGTAAATTCTTATTTGATGTTCCTTGTTATTTTTCTTTCTTAACCAGATCTATTCTGCTTTATATGTTGTTTGAACTGTCCTTTTAATGAAAACTCTTAGAGAAGTTTTTAAACTAATCTCTTTCTATTTAAGAATATACTTTATATTATTATTACTAATATTGTTTAGTTCTATACTATTTGCTTTATATATTCCTTCTTTTGCAAGCTTATTGTGAGGTCATTATATGTATCCCATGAATGACTTTTAACTTTTGTGAATATTAGCTGAACTGATTTGCTTTTGCAGGCTTTCTTGATAGCATGTAGAATATTATTATTCTTTAATTTTAACCATTCATGTGTTTTTTATTTTTAAGACAATTCTTAATTACAAAGATTGCACATATACTATTCATCCTTATTTCTACTTTGCATCTATTAGAAGCTAACAAAACTGCTACTAGATAAGCTACTAGCTCTGCATGAGTAGATAAGAACTAATTTTCTATCTTTCCCTTATAATAAAAAACTATATTATTTGTGCTATCTATTTGAACTATGCTAAATCTCATTTCTATTCTATTCCTAACATCTCTACTACTGAGTAAGCTATCTGTATAAAATACTATTTCTGTTTCTTTTTTGTTTGTCTCTAACCTATCTTTTAACTCTTCTCTAATTTTTTTGTCTTGAATAACTTAATTAATTAGCTCTGTTTCTCAACTATTTTCTACTATGATATGCTCTAAATTCTTAAATTTTTTCATATCTTCCTTTCTAGTTTTTTTGGTTCTATTTTTCTATTTTTCCTAGATACTTTTGATTGAATACTACTTCTGTCAAATTATTCTTCTTCCGTATAAAGCTTGAGATATTATAGACTTCTTTAAGTACTGTTCTTTACTTTTGACTATTTTTCTTTAGTTTAATTTCTTCTTTATATACTTCCTGTTAGCTGCCTTCAATATGTGAGTTCTCATTGTCTTCTTCTCAAATCTCTACTTCTACAATCTTCTTTTCTTTTCTTATAATACAACCTATTTCATTTTTCTCATTCTCTTTGCCTTTTATAAGTACCTATTCTTTCTTTCTTTTATCATGTGAAATTTTTTCTTCAATTTTTTGTACTTAGAACCCTCTTCTTTTTTGATATTCTTCAGTTACTACTCTTGATTACTTATCTTCTATAATTTCATTCTCTAGAATTTGGAACTACTTGGCTTTCCTTCTGATATGTCTCTTTTCTTCTCTTACTTTAAGTTGCCTCTAAGTAATCATTCTTTCTTGTTCTTTATTTAATAACTGATTTACATGCTATAAGTTAAGCTTACTTATGCCTTTTTGTCCTTCCTTTATATTATATTTATTAAGAATATTACTGATAAGGCAGTTTTTTCCTTCCAATAAGTTTACAAGATTCTAACTTGCTATGAAGTCATTCTCTACAACTTTTAAATCATATCTTTTTGTATGTTGTATTATTGTAGCTTTAGAAAATATTGTAATTTTTATCTCGTCATTTTTATTAGTGGATTTAAACAGGAATTGGCGAGGCGTCTGTTATTTAATCATAATATAAAATTTTCTCAAACTATTAATATATCATTTTATGATATAAGAGTTTTATATTCTATAATATTACATTTTTATACATAAATTTTCTCTTCTTTTCACGTATTCGGATTATAAATCGGGCTGACCACGAATATGCATTCTCTGATTGGCTATTTCCTTTTAGGAATTTGTATTACCCTAAAAGCCTAACGAATAAATTATCCGACTTCATTAATAAACTAATTGATAATGGAAACCGCTAGTTCAAGTTCATATTTAAATTATAATTTCTAAGCTAGATGTAATATATCATCTTACTCAAGCTCAAGAATTCATGAAAGATTTTAGTATATCAATTAACTTAATTAGTTTAAGCAGTTAGTTGAAGAATTTGAGATAAAATTGCCAGAAGAGATATTAATTAAAGCAATGGAACTACTTAGTGGTTCTTCCTCTTTTAAATATCACTCAGAATGATACGTTAAGTTTTGATTTTCACCTTCAAACTTGGATTGGCAACTTTAGAAAGAGTGTATTATTCTCTAATCGTTCTGGGACGTGAAATCCGTGAACAGCTTTATCACCGTTTAAGTGACTTTGATTTTCATTATAAAATGACTAATGTCTTTAAACACAGTGTCAGTGACAGTTCTAAGTCGAAAGAGAAGTCTAAAGAAGGTTCAAATAATAACCACTTTATATGAATTTTCAAAACTATAATATTAATTTTTTACTAGTCCATTTACGTGATACTTTGCATATAGTGCGCGATGATGAAACACACATGAATGAAGCTTTAAGATGTATTAGAGATTTTTTTTAATAACTATTCATATTTCACCTAAAACTACTAGTGTTACATCAGGAAAATTTTCTGATACACTAGGTGTTGCTGAAGCTTTTCCAACCGTTGCTAAAGCCCTTAACATTAAATTTCCTATCACTTATTGGTATAAAACATGATGTGAGCTTTTAGATTAATTTATTATTCTCTAGAAAATTTACCTAAAGATGAATCTTATAATATTTTACGATTAGAATAGATCAAGGAGAAGTAATTTCTCTTCTAATATGGAGAATATTTTACGACCCACTGCAAGTAAGAATACAGCAGCTAGGAATTGAGTACTAAATAGAGCTCCAGTAGCCAATAAATATTAAAAGACATATATATAAAATAGAAAAAGCTATGATTTTAGCAGGCGTTGCAAAAAATTATACAGGTATCAAATAGCTTTTTTGTATTAAATAATATTGAGATAAACAGAGCAAAATCTGAAGCAATTGCTTGGAAACCCTATAAGTAAAGGAAAAAAGAAGAATATAAACAAATCAGAACTCTACCAAGCTTGGTTAATATTAAAGAATCAGAAGAAAGTATGAGATTCCTAGGAGTTTGATTAAGTTTAAGAAAACAAGAAAGAACAAGTATCCTACAGTGCAAAAAAGAAGTAGGAAAATTAATTTGTATACTAAAATACAAAAAACTCTTAGCAAGTCAAATAATATATATAAACAATATGGTATTGCTACCAAAG